AAGATGTCGATTCGATATTGTAACGTTCTATTTCGAGCAGCTTTAGCTTCTTGTCACTCTTAGCGTGACGAAGGCTCCCGCTCAATTAAGGTCTTCGATGCACTAAATGAGCGGGAGTTTTAAAATGTACAAAAAAATTCCCAAAAATACTATCTAAGAATGAAAAAATCTTTTATAACTTTATTAGCAATCTAAAATAAGATGTCGATTCGATATTGTAACGTTCTATTTCGATCAGCTTTAGTTTCCTGCCACACTTAGCGTGACGCAGCTCTCGATCAATAAGGTCTTCGATGCACTAAATGAACTACTCTGCGAACAGAGCATTTAAAAAAATATCTACAAAAAAATAAAAATAAAAAATGACAAGCGCGCGCCTGCATCGGAGTTGACTGTCCTTATGAGGGACAAAACTGAATCTTGGCTAACGCTACAAAAAAATATTCAGGCCTCATGGCTAATTTTTTCGCATTTTCACAACTCACGGCTAATTGTTCAGCCGTTTCACGGCTCACGGTTAACCCCATTGAGACCCTTTTACCTATACAGAAGTGCAGAAGTACTCGGCTCCTCCGTACCCTTTCTGCGCTATAGATATTGTTTGTTCAACGATTTCTCCAGTTATATCAAAGGATTTGTTAATTTGCATTAACCCTATTCGGACTGGGGGGGGAAGGCTTTTGAGCCACCCCTCCCCTCGAGTAAAATGYYAATAACTTTCGAAAMAAGAAAGCTACAGCTCTCAGACCTTCGGACTTTTCCTATAATTTATCTGGGCAAATTTTGATGTAGCTTTTATGTTGATATCGCCATCAATGTTGCCATGGCTACCAGTTTTTGACACATAGGTTTTCAAAAATGTAAAATAATTTTATGCTTAATTTGTCATTTTTAAAGYTTATTTMTTGCTTTATTATRCATCTTYTACCTATTTGAGCTTGCTCCCATTGCTGACTMTACAATACCATAAWACTTTTTTGACAACAAAAACTTTGGGGGGTAGGGGTGGGTAATTTTCAGTCATTTTTTCATATGAGAGAAACTGTCATTAAAATCATCAGTAACACTTCGAAATCCACTTTTGTATTCATTAAATGTTAATTTGATAAGTATTTCTTAGATTTTGAGCTTTAAAAACTCCTCAAATTGTAAAGTTTACCATAAAAACCTGATGTAGCCAAAAAAAAGTAATATTTGGAGTCAAATTATTCAAAGACGACAAAGACACTATAGGAAATAACGTCATCACCCCCACCGTCACAGAATAGGGTTAAAAAGCAAAAAAAGCAACCTTGTTTTATTTAAGTGTGGTTATATACATACCACTTCGATGATCTGTTTAAGCATTATTCCAAATCTTACTTTGACAGGACTGGATACATTTTGCACTGGTCGGATTTGACGGTTATAGCCGGTTAAAATATGCTCAATCAAACGACTTTCAGAGTTGTTGTAAGGCTGGGCAAACGAAGTACCTTAAAAATGTTGCATTTAGTTATCGCATTTCTAAATGATATTAAAATATACTTTCTTTATCTACAAATGTTTTACAGTCATTCGAAAAAATTCTGTCAACTAACTTATAAAAATATAACAATATATAGAGTTTTTGATATTTAAAATTGAAACTTTTCATTTTCAGCGACAAAAATGCGGATTCAACTTGAATATCGCTTGGACCACATTGAATAAAAATAATTTAAAATATTCAAATGATTTAAGATCTCTCTTAGCAATAAAAAAATAACAAAAAAAAAAACTAACAAAACATTACTAATCATGAACCTGATTAACTAGATATAGTTTTTACGCCTGACCAAATTTTTTGGAAATGACTGTAATTCTCTGTATTCTTTTAAATTTTCGGCGCCTTTCTTTTTAATACACTAGCAACGAAAAGAATATACCATAGAAATTGTTTTTTAGCCACCTTTACATGATATTCACCAGGATTTCCTTTAAATTTAGTCAAGATCTTTCCGTAAATAATCAGACTTTATGTGATG